ACAGAAAAATTATAGCATAAATTTTCACAGACGTTTGAATTTAAACATGAATTTCTTCACGAATATCAATACTATAGTAATAAAACATATATCATCTTGTAGCCAAAAACTAGGGCTTTCAATTTATCTTAGAAATATCTTAGTAAAAAATCGTTCCTTGTCATCTAAATCTCAGCTGAAGTTAAAAAATTAAATTTTTCAGGTGTAAATTTTTGGAGGTCATGTGATATTTCCATAAATTTACACCTAATTAAATTTCCTGATGTATAACTATGATAGTAATAAAAAAACTTATATTATTTGATATTCTCTATATTGTATTATTTGAATGACTATTTTAATTATATTTTTTATATAAATATCAATTTTTTATTATATATTTTTTATAGACAAAATAAAAAATAAATGAAAAAATAAAAAAATCCATTCTAAAAAAATATCAAAAAAAAATATCAAAATTTTTAAAATAACTAGTAGAATATTTATTTACAAGATTTATAATGAAAATTCAAAAAAATATTATAATTTTATCTACTTACTAAAAAAAAGATTTATTATTTTCAAATAAATTATTTTTGTATTCAAATTAAAATTAAAGTTACAACAATATTTTATATATAGTAAAGTATTAAAAGTCATAGAGAAAATGAAAATTAATAAAAAAATTATTAAAATTGAAATACTTATTGTGATATAACAGGTAATCTAAATTATATAAATTTTTTTTTATTAGATTTTTTTAAATTAGAGTTATTATATAATATATTTTATATTAAAATTAAATTTTTATATATAGAGAAATCATGTTTCAAATAAAATTAACAAAAAATAAAAAATTTAATTTTTTAATATTATCTATATCAAACTTGATGGACTTTAAATATAGATAGTAAATATCTTATATAAAATTATAGCCAATAACAATATCTATAACTTTAATTAAAAATACTTTTTATTGTATCTAGTGAAAATTTAAACTTTAATTAGATATGAATAAAAATAACTAAAATTTATTAAAAGTTTTAAAAATAAAAATAAAAAAATTTGAAAATAATTATTAATTATTTCTACATATAAAAGTTTTTTATTTATTAAATTATTAATAAAAGTAATATTAAATAATATTAAAATTAAAAATATATAGAATTTTATATAAAGTATTTAGACATGTTTAATTAAAACTAAATAAATAATTAGTAATTAAATTCTAAAGAATAATTTTGAACATCTGGCATATAGCCATTGATATTAAATTTAATTTGTAAGTAAAAATTCTAAAAACTTTATAAATGATACTTCATATTTTTAATTATAAAATTAATTAGTAACATATTTGTTATTTATTAATAAATAATGAACTTTAATATGTAATAACTTTTAATAATTATTTTTTGAATTTAATAGTAAAATAATTAACAATAATACTTTAAAAATTTACATGATGGAGAAATTTATTGTTGATCATTTTATCTTTGATATTAAAAAATCTGAATACAATTAGTATATTAAAGTTCATTATTTACTAATAAAATAACAAATATGTTACTAATTAATTTTATAACTAAAAATATAAAGTATCATTTGTAAAGTTTTTAGAATTTTTACTTACAAATTAAATTTAATATCAATGGCTATATGTCAGACATTCAAAATTATTCTTCAGAATTTAATTATCAATTATTCACTTAATTTTAATAAAATATTTAAATATTTTACATAAGATTTTATATATTCTCAGCTTTAATATTACTTTTGTTGATAATTTAATAAATAAAAAACTTTTATATGTAGAAACAGTTAACAATTATTTTCAGATTTTTATTTTTTATTTTTAAAATTTTTAATAAATTTTGATCATTTTTATTCATATTTAATTAAAATTCAAATTTTACTAGATATTATAAAAAAAGTGCTTCTAAATAAAGTTATAGATATTGTTCTTAGCTACAATTTCATATAAGATACTTGCTATTTATCTTTAAAGTCCATTGAGTCCAGTATGGGTAACTTTAAAAGATTAAATTTTTTATTTTTTGTCAATTTTATTTGAAGTATATGTACAGTATAGACATTTAATAATACATCATATGATAGCCCTGATTTAGAGGAATCTAATAAAAAAAGTTTGTGATCACCCGTTATGTTACAATAAGCATTTTAATTTTAGTGATTTTTTTATTACTATTGTTACTCAAGACCCAGAATAGATATCTAATAGCTTCATTGTAAATTGTATAAATAATTTACCAATTTTTGATATAATACACTAATAATATTTAACATTTCATAACTAATGTATATTTGCTTGAACATTTTCTCTACATAAAAGAAATCAAATTTCAATACCAAAGCAAAAAAATAGATCAATGATCTAATCTACCCTTTGTCACCTGAGATTTTTTAAAAACAAGTTATTAATCATAACAACAATAATCATTATATCTAAAGAAAATGTTAAAATACTCAATTTTCTGAACTTGTTACATCCTTTTCTACAATTATTATAATAATAATATTTTATATAAATCAAAAGAATTAATAAAATAATTATTATCTGTTTCCTTTTCGAAAAAAAATGCAACTTTTTTTTTTTAATTAGGAGACGAAGTAGATTTGTTATGAATACTTGTGTTTTATCAATTCGGAATTAGCGGCTTAGTCTGAAAAATTTATATAATACACTAAATAATTGGGATATTTATTTAATTATTATACTTAGTGTTAAGATTTTAAAATTAAAAATATATAACATTAAATATCCAAATAATCATCATCGCCTTCTAATTAAAATGGTTATAACATAAAAGATAACTCTGTTAATTCTTCAAGTTTTTTTTCAAAATGTTCTTATTTTTTTAGATTTCGGAAGATTTAAAAAAAATCGAGTCGAGAAGTCTACTGGTTATAAATTGTTTGTGGACGTGTTTTGTTCGATTTTTGGAAAATTCTTCTTCTTTAATTTGAATTGTAATTTTGTTTTTATTTTCATATCCATTTTAAAGTAACCAACTCTTTATCTAATTCTTCGATGTGTTTATGTAATTAATTTAAGAATTTTTGGTCGAAATCCATTACATTTTCATTATTATGCGCCACATTAGAATACGGCAGCAAACAGTGATTATTCCATAAACAAATAATTGCAAATAAATAAATATCAGCAGCCTTTTTATATTCTTAATTACCACTTAATACTTTAGAAGCTATACTCCTAAACAGTTCTCTTTTGGGAATTTTCTAATCGATATGCTTAACCCAAAATATAATATTTGTAAAACATAACGCTAAATCTCGTAAATAATATAATTTCTTTTCCCAACTAAAATTATTAAAATTATTATTTAAATAATTTCTAAGATTTCTACCTCTTAATAAAATCATCATATATTTTCGAGTTTCCGGATCTTTTGTAATTCGATCAAATGAGATTGATGAAGTTGTTTATCTTGCTCTCGAGTTGCCATCTAAATAATATATTTTTAAAGTATAATTAGCATATTATATATTTTTAAATAAAATTTCATCTTAATTTAGAATATTACTTTACCTCGATTAAGAAATCTTCATTTATATCTCCAATATCATCAAACTTTTTTAATACTATTTTACACTGACAAGTCTTTCTCATCGTTGATTTTCAATATCCCACTGATAAATAAATCCATCAACTCACTTAGCATAATAAATAGTACCATAACCAACTTTTGCTATTTGTTTAATTTCTTGAAATCTATCATAAGTAAAGTTGGTTTGGTTCGGTTTTGATTGTGAACTGAAATGAAACCGAACCGAAATTTATAAATTGGTTTGGAACTGAAATTAAAAAACTTCAATCCGAAACCGAACTGAACCGGTGCAAACCGGTTCAAAAAGTTTTTTTTATTTGTCAGAGTTTTTGCTTAATTATTATAATGAAATTGTATTAGTTAATTGATTATAAAATGTAATACATGACTTTTACAAGTAAAGAACCGTTCGGTTCAGTTCTAATGTTGAACTGAAATAAGGTTTTTTTTATAAAGTATATTAGAATTCGTTAATTTTTTTAATTAAACTAAATTAAAAATATATTAACTAATTTATTTTTATTTCAGGAAACGGTTCTCAATGGCGTCGAAAAAAAAAATTAAAATCTGATTACCTATTGTGTTAATTGATTTCAGTTTTAGAATGGCTGGTATAAAATTTTTAATTTACCAACTATTAATACAATTAAGTGCATTTAAAATTCTTCATGAACTTGACTTCTATTTATTTCAATCTCTTCTATTGTTTCATTTTCTTCAACTAAAATCTCTTCACTTTCTCTTTCCAAAAATGATTTTACGTTGCTATAAATTCCACATTTATAATATTCTTCACAGTAATGACATTTGTACTCAAGCATCGCATAACATTCAAAGTGATAGCCATGGCCGCATATTAATACCTCACCATTATTAAGCTTTTTATTACAATGATCACAATTATCTTGAATCGGTGGTTTGCTAGTGCTGAATCAACAATTTTCTGCAAAGTTGGCAGTTCAAATTCTATCTTTTTCTTTTTTTTTTTGTATAATCTTCATTTTCTGATTAATATATATTTTCGAAAATAATTTGATAAGAATATAGATGTTTTTTCTATCTTTGGTAAGTAAAGCAACTTGCTCGGCAAATGAATAATTTTTTGGTTCTATAAAATTAATAAAAATAATTAAAATATTATTATAAGTAAATGAAAATTAAATAACAATATTTATTACCTTGTATCTACAATTTTTTATTACGATCAGCTTCAACAATTTTCATATAATAAATGACATAATTGTTCCCCTAAGTATAATATTTATATGTACCATTTTTCTTGGATTTGTTATATGCTAATAGAATAAATTGACAAAAACGGGAATTTTTATTATCGTAGTTTCGTATTGAGCAAGGACCATAATTTTTTCGAACCACTGTAAAATTTTATTAAAAAATTTTTTATCAAAAATTTTTGATCTAACCCAATTTCAAATGAAATTAATAGTAAAATTATCACATGATAAGGTCATTTCGAAGGTCATTTGAGGTCATTTTCCATCCCTGCTCTAACCAGTAGGAACAAACTAGCCCTATGCTGAATCTTTCGATTTGGATTTTAATGAACTGAGAACCAGAACCAGCCGTTCGGATTCGGTTCAAGCCGAACGGTTAGGAGCTTTAATCATAAGTGACTTTGAATAATTCATCTATTGTGGCTTGTCTATGCATCAAAATCATTTTGAACGTGTTGAGTTGCACGGTTAGCATCACTACAAACTATACGTATTCTTGATTAATTCCGGGCGTAAATATAAATAAGGCATTTTCTGTTCGTTTGCAGTGTGCATGGTAAAAAAATTTTTTTTTTAATTAAAAAAAAAATCAATAAATAAAACCGTATCGGAATTTATGTTTTTCGGTGAAAATTTCTTAGATATAGATTCTACAACTTTAGGAAATTTTAACAATTAATTTAGTGTATTATTACTTCATTATTTATTAATTATTTATGACACAATTATTCTAAAGCAATTCTAATTATTATAGAAAATTTTTATTGATCGATTCGAAAATATTTTTATAAAAAAATTTTTATTATTATTATTATTTATAAAACTGAATAGCTGTTGTAACTATTACTACTATTTCGTGAATTTGATCAATGTTATGAATGAATTAATCAATTCTAATGAAATTGAATTAAAAAAAAATTGATAATGAGGTTATAGGTGGAATTATAAGGACAGAATGATAACGTGATAAGCGTGAATGAACAATGAATTATGAAAATGGTTCAATTGCTATTACAATGGAAGATAGTTGAGTAAGTCAGAGATTCTGATTAATTTATTAAATTAACTTTGATTATTGACGAGAGTTTAGGGTTAGGCGTTTTATGATAAACCACCGTGATACTAGGATGATCGTACGATCATCTCAGGTGATTTATCATCCTTGGATGTCGTGTGGCCATCCGCCGAAGGATGAAGGATGACGCTCAAAGATGAAGGATAAATGATGACACACAGAAACGAAGGATAAAGCACAAAAGATGAATGATAAATGTAAACAAAAGAGAAAGTATAAAAATGAATGTTGGTGGGATTGGTTTCAGAGTTCTGAAGTTAGAAACTTTAGATAGGAAAGTAAACGATGGTATCTTTTGATTGATACTTTACTTTTATTAAGTGTACCCTTTTTATTTTGATAAACTTATCTTTTGTGTTGTAATATTGTGAAATATTATTAAATATTATTTGATACTGTGATAATACTTTTACTCCACCTTACTTACAATGCCTTTAGATTATTTTGAGTATTATTGTGATATTGTTTGTATTTTATTATCTGTTTCGAGTTAGCTTGACCTACTGGCAGATAGAACGTATTGTTAACAAATTTGTGTGATCCAAATTTTTGAGATTGATTTGTGTGAAATGCTCTGTACCTACGTGACAATATTACTTGGGATTTCGTAATAAGATCTTTATTTTTTCAATTTTAATGAAATTATTTTATTTTGTGCTCTAATGAAAATGAAAGTAAAAGTCTTCTTTTTTTTTGCATCCAATCGACGGAGAATATAAATAAAACGAGACATCAATTTCTATTTCAAGAAACACCACCGACTATATTATTGTTTAACAGTATTTAATAAACACCTTAAAAGTTTGAGGTGTAAATTTCACATAAAAAATGTTTTTGAAACATATTTTATTGTAGATCTCGAAGACTTAAATGATTAATTCTTGATATTAGAAAATTGCAAATCTTTAAAAGGAAACATCTCAATTCTATAACGATCGGCTTCAAATAGGGGTTTTAATTCAAATATTTATTATAATTAAAAAAAATCGGTAATTCGCATAATTAATTAAGTTTATGCATGCATGCACATCCAAAACAAAAGATTGAATAATGCAACTTAATATCAGCAGCTTTTCCCTATCGAAAATCTTGTAAATAATATAATTTTTTTCTAATATTTAAAATTTCGATTTCTGCTGATCTCGATAAATTTGTCGTACACTAATATTACGAAAAACCTAATGAGACCACGCTTTTCTGTAAAGAAAAAAAATATATCCGAAAAAAAAGTATTTATTTCTCGATTATCCTTTTTTTCAAATTCTCCTTTATTGTTTATATAATTATTTTTAATTAGAACATTATAATTAATTTTGATAATAAATAATTTTTCTTTTAAGAACATATGAGAGATATAAACAGAAACACTAAAAGAACAGACTTATTAAAGTGGAGACTTAAAGCTAAAAATGGAAGACAAACGTGGCATTATTTAGAGGATGAAGATGAAATTAAGAATTGGCCTCAATCTGCTATTGATAAATATTCGCTTGGTTTACCTTTTGTAAGGAGTATATAATTATTTATTTAATTATCAATTAATTATCAATTATCAATATTAATCAATAAACAAATTAACCAAATTAATAATTATAGAAAACAAAAGAATTTAATAAACCAACTAAAGCATTAGAAGCTGCCAAGAATGGATTTAAATTCTATAAGCAACTTCAAACTGAAGGTGGTCATTGGACAGCAGATTGCGGAGGACCAATGTTTTTAACTCCAGGAATTGTACTTTCAATGTATATTACTCAAATACCAATTCCAGAAAGTTGGAGAGTAGAATTGATTAGATATTTATTTAATCGAGCTCATCCCGTTGATGGAGGATGGGGATTGTGAGTTTAGTTTTATTTTAATAATAATTTTTTTTTTTTTTTAATTATTTTAATTAATTTTAACTATTTCTTCAAATATTTTTAATATTTTACTATTAGACATACTGAACATCATACAACAGTTTTCGGGACTGCAATGAATTATGTTGTACTTCGGATTTTGGGAGTGGATGCGGATCATCCATCAATGGTTAAAGCTAGATTAACTTTACATAAACTTGGTTGGGGGAATTTAATATTAGTTTAATTAATTTTAATTTAATTCAATTTAGTTTATTTGTATTTATAGATATATATATATATTTTTTTTTTTTTTTTTTAGGTGGTGCTA